ACCTGAGCAAAATTTAACGATCAGTTTTCATCAAATTAATAATACTGGCGATCAACATTCATTTTTTTCTATAATGATCAACATTAAGTATGTATTTTCACACAATTGAATGTTGCTTCCAATAGTCGCCTGTGGGTGCCCAGCCCAGGCATCCATTTTGGATACTAGATACTGGTCTATTCATTGCCATGCTCCGCAGCCAGAAATCAAATACTGTAGCAGGTATATTAGGTCTCTCGAGTCTTGATAGGGTGAAAATATTTTTCAAACTAACACTATTAACAAAAATACTGACTCATTCATTAAGAATCTGAACACGACGGAACTTAAGATTATCATTCTTCTATAAAATATGAGATATGTTGTACCTGAATTTTGGCAGTCTTTCTTGGTTCACCACCGGCTTCAGGAGAAAATGTTGAACCATCACCTTTCTCTATGGTCAATTCAACAATTCCTCTCCCTGTAAGCCTACAAGTATTAAAAGAAAATATTGATATTCTACTTACAGCACAGATGATGTCATTGCAAAGCCTATTTATCGCACATGTAGAGGTCATTCAAACATAGGTTTGGTAAGTCAGTTGTATGTCAAAGAGAGAGCGGAACATGGAGACCAAACTTCAATCTCAAACATATACCCAAGTCTAAACAAATTATACAAGACTGATATGAAAGACAGATGGAGTCATATTTTAACCCTTGTAAAACAGACCAATACAGTTTCCCTTGGACATCCAGAAAACTCATATATATTTCAAGTTTTTCCCTTTGCATCATTATACTCCATAGTCTAAGGATCCATGCTACATATAAAACAACCAGCTCCAAAGAACCCACTTCAAAAGTTTTAGACAACCACTGGGACCTTAGGGATGGATGGGCCAACAATATATATCAGGCTAACACCCTCCCTTACACACAACCCATCCCGGACGTGGAGAGACAGAGAAATACAGACAGAAACGTAGGTGCATCTCCATCCCGCACCTTGCAAATCAGCAAAGAAGTGGGGAATGGGGATTACAGGTTTCAAACCTAGGATCTTCTGCAATCAGAGATCTGATATCGCGTTAGTCTTAGACAACCACTGGACCCCAACTTAAACTATTAGGGATTGGACCGAGAATGCATAGCTAGCTAAAAAAAATATCATAATCAGCTACATTAACAAAATTCAAAATGATTTTTACGATGGCTAATGTATCAAAATTTGAATTATATATCTAGATATGTTTGTTAGAGAACTGTTTGAATTGACCAGGACTAAAAAAGGTTGAATTTTTGTATTTCAGTGGAATGAAATATCATCCCCCAGAAAGAGAAAAAGATATCATTTTGGAAAAAAAAAAAAAACCTATTGAGACAGAACTGACCTTGGGTATCTCTTGTATTGCTCGGGTAACAAAAATGACAAGCCTGGAGCCTGTTGAGAAGAATCAAATATCAAGTTGTGATTTTAGACATGTCACATTGTCCTAATAATATAATTAACTCCCACAGGCAAAAGATATTAAAAATGCGTGTTTCCATATAGCATGACTGCAGCAGTAATTTTCTAGGGATTATATATAGAATCATGCTATGGTTTTGATGAGGCTTCCATATGTTGATTCCGTTATATAATAGTTATTTGTATAAAAGAGTAATCCAATGGTATAGATTGGTTGTATTACCTGTAATAACTCCAGCTCAGCAATGGTATCCAGTGAAGATGCGAGGCCTACTGATACTTTATCTGGGTCCTTATCCTTTATACATGCAAGAAGAGCTTGCAATCCATTCTGAAAACTAAGAGAAATTAAACAACATTCTTACAGTTGCTGCAGTGTACCATAATAACCTATTTGTCATAACTATGTCAAGTAACATGCAGAGCCATACATCTATTCTCCTGTCTCTTTTCTTCTCCATAGTTTCTTATGGGCATCTAGGATATAGAAAGTGTATAAATTTATAGTATATTTTGAGCAATGAAACAGAACTTCTACTCCTATTATAGAATTTGACATCTAGCCAATTCCCTAAAAATGTCCGGAAAAAAATTGTCAACTGAATTTTTCCTGAAAGAATAAACAGAAAATGTGTAAAAATGAAACCTCCATCTGGAGTAAGGAAAAAAAAACAGTCGAAAAGTGAACAATAATTTCATTGCTTTTCTTCTTCTCTTATTTTAGTTGGATATCATACATGTGCCATGAGACATAAAAGAAGAGGATAGTATGATAATATCCTTGTCATGATCTTTGTCGTTCTTCTAGGGGAGCTTCACATACCTTTCCATCGATAAGAGATGCATATAATGTGGAGCCATTCTCCCTCAAGTCTGCTGGTATGCTTGCCAGAATTGAATCCTTTTCATCTGTTGCTATCTAAGGTAAGGAAATAGAACTAAGAAAGTGTAAAATCTAACTGCTAGCATCCATGTAAGATATAAATGTAAGAATGTGATTGATGTATAAATGAAAAGAGAATATGGTTTCTATATTTTAATGGTACCACAATTACAATCAATATAAAGCAAAAGTTGTGTAATTAGTACATAATTTTCTGCCAGGTATTACCATGCCTGAGGCCCTTGGGGGACCTGACATCTCAAGATATAAAGATTTTGTAAAATAAAAGAGAGAGAAATCCCATGACAGCTAAAAATCCAGGGAAACTCTCTTAAATTAATAACTTTACATTGACATCTCACATAATCCTAATAGTATCAATCTATGTAACCAACCTTTGATTCAAAATTGCTTCCGTTCGAAAAGCGTTATAATGAATGCCATACAAATTTCTTCTTAACCAACAAAAAAAAAAAACAACAGATACCTTTAAAGCTTTCTTCACATTTCCCTCCATGGTTCCATAAGGCTTCCTCTGTGGAATTCTTAGCAAATACAAAATCTCCTCCAGAGAATCCTAGAATGGAAGTAATATGGTTTCAAAACTGATTAATTGAAAGTTAAGAGAGCATGTATTAAAATCAATAATCAATAATCAATAACCTGTATGGTCTTCATGTTTGTGTTTGCAGGGATTGCCCTCCTTAAAGCTAGTTCTCCTGTTCTGGGAACCTTGGTGTCTGGAGAATAAAGAACTGCATTTGCAGGTGATATAGGCAAAACGTCCCAACCAACCAAAGGAAGTGGAGAAGATATTTGGACAAACACAAGGATCACAGCAATTAGACTTTGAAGTTTGTTTGTATGTCCACGAGTTGATATGTAGGAATTGGTAAGAGTACCATGCTGGTCTTTGAGTTCCTGAATGACTGAAAACTCATGTCAAAAGAAAAAAAGAAAGACCCAGCAAAGGGCAATAATTTCATACATTCCTACAACCCAAAAACCATAATTTCCAGAGATCAAGTATATGAATAAGATCAAAACCAACCTTTAGATGATTATTTTTGGGCAGGCAATGAACTCTGCAGCGGCCTGATATTTCTGGGTCTTTCCCATTGAAGCAAAATATGAAATGGGTTGGTTTGAGACTTGACCTTCGGGTAGAGGGAGCAATGGAGACATTGAAGGAGAGCTTGTGAGAGATGATGGCGGAGGATAAAGGGAATGCCATGACTGGTCACCGACTCACTGGAGATGGAAGTTGGTAGTTGCAGAGAGGTTTTGGCGCGCCTCATCCGCTAAAGCCTATCTGGAAATTTTTTTTACGGGTTTTGTATGGTTGTGGATGTGGAGTTTCTACAATGCCCCGAAGATAAGGCAAAGGCGGAAGGGGTGGGGTGTGAAATATTGGGCAAATCTGTAAATTAAACAATAGTATAGATTACTACATAACTAAAGAAAACATAAATATAATAGTCAAACTCTTTTACTAAACCTCGACCAATAGCCAATATATTTTTAAAAAAATTAGACCTAAAAATAAATCTTATGAAAATGTGTTACTTATATCCCAAACTAGTATTGACATCATGAAAATTAAAGCAATGTGTGCCATTATAATTAATGAAAACAAAATGAACTTTCAAATTCTTTATTTAACCATTAAATTTGAACTTGACAAAAAAATGGGCACTAAAAGATATACTGTATATATTTCTTGTTTGTTACAAAATTTAAGACAACATTGAAAAAATGAACTTAATTTATAACATGTGCAAACAAAATAAGAAGTTTATTAGTTTATCATATGTATTACATTATTTTGATTAAGTATAAAATGAGGTTACATAGTGCATCCACTAAATCTTAAAAAAAGGAAGGGCATAGACGGGCAAGCCTAGTCGGGCTAAGGGTTTCAAATACTAAGTCCAAGTCCTACCCAACCTTAGAGCGGGCCTAACCATAGAGATGGGTCAGACTTTGACCCATCAAGTCTCATGTTACCCACTTCGACTAGCAAGCCACAGGTCAAATGATGATCCCTAACCAACATCACCACCAACAACCCCATTCCCTGTCTCATTTAGCTAATCCCCTCGTCCTATGTTCTCATCACCATAAAAATGCTTATCATTTAAAAAATTATTAATGCAAGAATGTCACACAAATATAATTATTGGTTATATGTGAACAAAAATGTTAAGTCCATTTGGTATTTATTTCCTTTAATTCAAAATTTCTTTTTTTTTTTAATTACACGATAATCATAGATGTCACACAAGTACATACGATAAATAATTTTCCAATAATAAACCACAAAACAACTATTCCAATCTCACTACAAGATTTGTACTTAAAACACTCAATAAAGTGAAGACTAATGTTACTAATACAAGCTTGAAACACTTGTATAAAGCATACCATACAAAAGACCATCAAGACATTGTTTGAGTAAACTTTAATAGATTCCAAATATAAATTTTACAAAATTAGACTCAAAATGCAAGCCATCATCTTAGTCAATTATAAAGAGGATAAGGGTAGGATCATTTAACGGTTCAGATTCAATGTGCGAATCATGAAGTGTGGTGCATCGCGAAGCACTAGATCTCCGGACCGCACCAAAACAAATCGTAACCTTCAAACTCCAAAATCAACGAAATTTACACGACATTACTCGATTCCATAAGACAGTGAGAGCAATCACACTTACAACCACCACCTCACTCAAGCTCTCTCTTTCTCTCTCTATGTTGGTGATGAATAATTGCACATGTTTGGTATAGATCGAGGTCGAACATGGCGAACTATCTTGCTCAGTTCCAGACGATCAAAAATTCCCTTGATCATCTCGTGATTGCAGGTAAATCTCACAATTTTGTAATCTCATTCAATTTTCTGGGTTGTTTTTTTTTTTTTTCTTCTTTTTGTAATTTCAAATTTGAGCTTAAATTTATTGTTGAGCTTTTTTTTTGGTTAAGCATTTTCCTAATTTGAAGCTACTGATCTTTGTGATCGTTAGTGACCTCCCTCACTTTTAGGTTTGAATTGAGATTTGGTGCTCTATGAGTGATTAAAGGTGTTAGTTCTATCTGAGAGTAGAAGTAAAAATGCGTATTTGTCTGAGCATGGGGAAAGCAATTAAAGTGGTGCAGCAAATGCACATTTGGTTGAGTGTTTGTAGAATGATGCCTGTAATGGGTCAGATTTGGAGAGTTTTCAGGAACAATTTTTCTGTAATTTTGTTTCCGAAAGCAGTGAAAAAGGCATCCATTCCTACCCCAAATGGGAACAATGCGCAAAATTTGTTGTTTGGTGTTTCAGAACATAAAAAGTGTTTTAAATTTTTGTATTTGTTTGAGGAGCTGCATTAGTCATTTGTTTAGTGACAAGCTATATAGCTATGGTTATGATGTTCGGAATGCACGACATGGAAACCTATAGATAACCTAAGGGATGTTGATCCCTTAACAATTTCTTCTAATATTGTGATCATGCCCTTAGTTCGTATTGAATTTGCAAGAAGTGAAACAGATAGCTACTCGCGTTTATGCAGTAATGGTATGTGTTATTAGCCTTGCTTCATTTTCTCACCTAACAGTTTGACCATGAGCACTTTTTCAGTTGAAGATGTGAGCGACTTGTGGCCTACTGTCAAGAATGGATTTGAGGAGCACTTGCCATTTAAAAGAGCTTGCTTAAATAACAAGACCCGTAATCCTGTGTTTGTGGAGAATTTTCCTGCAGAGTTCATATTAACCACAGATTCGAGACTTCGTAGCCGGTTCCCTCAAGAGCAATCATTATTTTGGTTTCGGGAGCCATATGCAACTGCAGTCCTTGTCACTTGTGAGGTAAGATTCTATCTCGTTCACCTCATTTATCTTAATGTAGTTATTTCATAACCAATAGATAATGTTTATATCTATAAACACTAGAGGTTAGACTAGTGTAAGGATTTGGGGCCGAGATAAGCACCTTAGGAAGTGCAGGTCTCTTGTTCAATTCCCCATGGATCTATTTCATGGT